CCCTTGAAGGAAGTGGCTGAGTGGCCAAAGAATCACTTTAGGTCTGGGAGAGCTGCAGGCATAGAGGACATTTCCCTATGTTTAGAAAAGGCTGCCTTTGGATAGTTAACTTTCATAAAAGTGGTCTCCATTTGAAGCAAGTATCTTCAAGGACTTAAATCTAAAAGGACTTCTACAGAAGTATAAGCCCCAGAGTGTACATCTGAAAAGGCAGACTGCCTATTGATCCCAAGCGTACAAATGTTAGGAGAGATTTACCTGTACTAATATTTCTTATTAAGATTGTTTTTATTAGGGCTCTGGTTTTAGAGTTCTGCTTTCCCTACCAAGTCTTTTTAGGACTCTGCTTTCCCTCCCAAGGCTTACTTTTAGTGCATGATTTTGTAAAATTCAGACATTTAGTTAATACACTTTGGGCATTTAGCAGACTGTAGAATGCAGTCCCTGGCTCAAGGAGCTTAAAAGTTAAGTAGGGCGGTTAGGGTGCCTGGGTGGCTCAGTCGTTAAGCGTCTGCCTTCGGCTCAGGTCATGATCCCAGGTCCTGGGATCGAGCCCCGCATCGGGCTCCCTGCTCAGCGGGAAGCCTGCCTCTCCCTCTCCCACTCCCCCTGCTTGTGTTCCCTCTCTCACTGTGTCTTTCTCTGTCAAATAAATAATAATAATAATAATAATAAAAAGTTAAGTAGGGTGGTAAATCCAAATGGAAGAGTAGGGGGGCAGTCTTTAAGACTGTTTTGTTAGTGTTTCTCACAACTGTGCCTGGATTCCACCCAGAATCAAGTCATTTCTATTTCTCTTTTTAGCACTCTATCCTATTTTGCTGCCAGATCATCCTCAAGCTTGAATACATTTAAAATGTAAATGTTCCCATTTCAAAACTAAGTGTTCCTTTCTTGCCTAGCAACTCCTTAGCCTAATAGTTAAGGTGCTCTTTTTCAACCATTATCTGTCCTATGCTATCCTAAGCTGCGGCTCAACTAAACCACAGCCCCAAGTTTTGCTGTTTGTGATACTTGGTCCTTCCTCTCTCACTGACTGAAATCCAGCTCCAGTGGATCTTAACCCTGGAGCACGTGATGGTACTTTTCCCTTATTTTTATTTCCCTTTATATCAGTCATTTGTCTATCTTCCTGCTACAGAGTATGTTTCTTAGGAGTTGACACTTTTCATCTCTACAGTCCTGTTCAAACTATCATATATGCAATATGTTCAAAAGAACCTATTTTTGGTTACCTTCTGTGAATGTATTATCCTCCTCCTCTGTACAAGCACAATATCCCAGCTACTCTATGGGATGCTTATTTGTGGGCTTGTGAGGAAGCCCAACTGCCAAAACTAAGGGTGGTTCCCTACAGAAAAAACTAGCTAGAGAGGATCAAATGAACAGGAGATTTAGAAATAAAGCACCTGGGGTCAAAATTATTTGCCAGCTTCTTTGACCTTGGGACAAATTATGTCTGCTGCCTAATTTCTTCCTGTACAAATGCTAATTCTTATTATTTACCTCACAGGGACGATAAAACAGGCAAATATAAAAACACCCCCCAAAAAAGACTGTGCTGTTAGGACAACCTTCTTTCCTAAAATAACCTGTTCTCAACTATGGGCTACTAACTCCTTCAGTACGAGGAGAACCATACTGGAACACTGCGTAACTTTTTGTGGTCAAACAGCAATTACTATTTTATTTCAATTGACACTCTATAAACATTTCACCCTAAAATAAGGCATACATTTAAATCTCCCAACCAGGACCTAGGTATTGTTAACCCAGTAGGGGTGAAAATTCTCACCTTTTAGCTAAAGAGGTGGATTCAGGCTGTTTTGTATCCTATCCTTGGAAGGCTACCAATATAATTTAAACAGAGTGGGAATAAATTCATAGCAAAACAGCAAGATGTCCAGGAAAGCTAATAGGGTTCACTTTGTAACTATCATATAATAGAAAGAGCCCCAAATATACACAACTACAGAAATGAACTAACCACACATTAAGGTTGGCTGTGCATTTTACTTAGAGAATTCTAGAGCCTTCCCTTAGAACATATTCTGACTTGGTTTCTCAGTCTGCACTGTACCAGATTTACCCAGTTTTACGTAACAGATTTCTCTAATACTCCAGAGCTTGCTCCTTACTTCATTTTATCTAATGGCAGTAGTCTCTTGACTCAACTAGAGGCTAGGAATTTAGCATTTATTACAGTAGGAACAACTCCCAAGCACAAACGTTAATTCATTGATCTACTACGGTGATTTCTGAAGCTCTCTTCAGGCTTCGCTTTACCATTCACACAATACAGATCATTTCAATTTCTTCCCATTTCCTGTATTTTCTCCTGGGAACGTTTTTTTTTTTTTTTTTTTTTAACAAAGCCTGAATTCCAAGTTCAGGTTATGGCAAGACTTCAAAGTCATCACTTCCAGAAAGGCTTCCAAGCTCAGCCTCACAAAATCTCTCATTCAGCAAATAGCGTGCACCCAATTGCTAAGGAGCCCTGTGCCAAGAGCCCAGCATCAGGAGCAGGGACTGGATCCTGAATTCTCAATCTACCGCTTCCTAATTATGTCATTTGGGGAAAAGTACTTATGATCTGCAACTGTCTCCTCACCTATAAACCAGCACTAAGAGGATGAAATGTAACAAACTCAGGTTTTCAGGAAAGCACTCAACTAAGAATGTGATTACACAATAGTGAGCCAATCAGACAAGATCCCTGACCTAGCTTGATCACTTTGGGCTATTCTTTTGTATTGAAAGCTTGTTTTTTCCTAAAATGGCCCTTCCCTCAACGATTTTCTAATCTTTTTAAAAATAGAATATACTTAAGGCTGGTTGACTGTTTACTCTGTGAATGTTACAACATCTTTCCCCTTCCACTTCCTAGCTCTCCAAAGCGAGCCCAGTCATAGACGCAGACCTGTTTCTTCGGAAAACTCAAGAAAATTTAGGTTTTAACACTTAAAGGCCCCCAACTGAGGACTGATCAACATAAAAGGCTTGGTTTCTTTTCAAAAAATAAAGGCAAAACCAGAGTTTGAAGAGCACCATTTTGAAGCACTTTGATTTTTGTTAGCATAATAAGAACTATGCTACCGAGTGTACACTATGTCATACTCATCCTAACTACACAGATTAGCAATAAGGAAGCCATTACATTTCCCGTCTCCAGCTTTAGCCTGGTATTTTATTGGACACAGTTGGTTATGGAAGAACTCTGTTAATTTTTTCCCTGTCTAATGATTTTAGGAGTGGCAATGCTTTATAAAAGATTTTCATGGCTACCAATCAACTATTATTGCCTTAAGCAAATTTAAAACAGTGAACCAGTTTTAAATTAAATAAATGTAACAAATAAGGAAAAACTGCTCTCCAGGAAAACCTCAAGGGCCTCATATCAACCCAACGCAGGAGGGTAAATTACAGAAGATGGACTGCTTACTCTTAGAACAAGAAAGGCTGCTCCTCTCCAGATGTCAAACCAAACACAGCAAAGTAAAGAAGCCTTGATAAATATGCTGAGAGCTAGAGATTACGGTCTGAAAATGGCAACTTTGCCGACCTCTAACCATCTTCTCCCTCTGGCGTTATTCCACATTTTTCACTAGCCATCTTTCTGCTGTCAGAAAACTTTAAAAGAGGCGGCCATTTAAAAAATATATATATCAAATATAATCATGCCAAGTGCTTGCGAGTTAAAGGGTCCACTTAAAAGTGGGATTTTAAAAAACCAGACCGAATGGGGTTTTATTTTAAAGCACGGCGTCTGTTTGGCTATTCCACAAACATCCCTAGGTTTAAAGCGAAAACGCAAACTGCTGTAACGTGGAAGGAAAATATAACAGAGGCAGAGGCATTAGAGCTTGGGCTGCAACACTCACGCCATTTCTGCCGCCTCTGTTAGCACTCGAGGTTTATCTGGCTTTACACTCAATTCGCGTGTTAAGATGGTGACTCCCGCCAGAAGCGACCTATACGGCCCAGGACCTTCCCGCGGGCCGGGAGGCGTCTCGGCCTCAGGTCCTCACGACCGCCCAGCAGAACATAGGGCTGGGCCAGCCCCTTTGTCTCCTCTGTCAACCCAGAGAAAGGAAGGAAGGAAGGAAGGAGGAAAGAAGGAAGAAGGAAGGAAGGAGGAAGGAAGGAAGGAGGGAGGGAGGGAGGGAAAGGAGGAGGGGGCTAACTAATCCCTCCCAGCCCGGGGCCAGAAGAAGGGTCGGGCGAGGAAGGGGAAGGGCAAGGACCCCCACCCCGGCGGGCCCCGGCCCCCCGCTCCCCCGGCCTGCTCCGGCGCCCCCGCCGCGGAGGGCACAGAGCGCGCTGGAGGCCCTCACCTCGTCCTCCTGCTCGCTCCGGAAGCACAGGCACGCCGCCCGCTTCTTGAAGCCCTCGCGGTCATAGGTCCGCGTCTGGTTGGGCTTGAACTTCATCATAGAGGCGGGCTCTTGCTGCCGCTGCTGCTCCGGCCGCCGCCGCGGGGACCCGGCCGCCGCCACCCCGCCGGGGAGTCGGGGCGCGGGCGAGTCGGGGCACAGAGGCGCCGGGAGGCGAGGCGGCGGCGCGGGGAGTGGCAGCGAGGCCGGTCAGTCCCGGGGCCGGCGGCCGCTTCGACGTGGGGCAGGGCGCAAGCGCCGGTCACTGCAGCCCGGGTGCCGGAGAGCAAACACCGCCTCTGCCCGGGCGTCCGCCGCTCTCCATGGAGCCCGCCGCCCGCTCGCCTCCGCTCCCTCCTGCTGCTGCTGCCGGCAACGCCGTCGCCGTCGCCGTCGCCGCCGGGGAAAGAGCGAGACTCGAGGCTCGCGCCACAAGGAGACAGTTGAGAGAACTCGCGGCGTCTAGGCAGCAGCGCCGCAGCGGCTTCGCGCCGCCCCCACCGCCCCTATATTTAAGTGGGCCCGCGCAGCCCCGCCTCCGCGCGCCCCGCCCTGCGCGCGCCCCTGCGCCTGCGTGCCGGGACCGTTGCGGCGGGGGAGGGGCGGCGGGGGGCGGGGTCTCGGCCGCGCGGCCGCGTGGGTTCCTCGGAGCCTGAGGGGCTGGGGCCGCGTCCGAGCGCGGGCTGGCGGTAGCCCGCCAAAATACCCGTGAGTAGGAAGAGGCAAAGACCCCTCCCTCGCTGTTTATAAACACCGCTACCTGCCCCGTGGAGACCTTAAATATCGTCTCCAGGCGAGGAGGTCCAACTACGTACATCCTCACAAAAAGTTGCACCCCGGTCAGGAAATGCCTGGAGGCATCGCAGCGATGGCAGTCTCCGCAGTGACTGACGTCCCGAATTCGCCCGTGAGGTGCGGGGAGACGAGAGGGTGAAGGCCTAGAAGGGGGAAGACGTTGGTTAAGAGGGTTCGTTTGGAGGGTTTCAGGGGTTTTGTTTGTTTTCCAGAGGAAAGAGAGAAGGCACATTTCCTTTTTTTTTTTTTTTTTTTAAGTCTTTGGTTAGGGGGTCGTTTGTTCTCTCAAGAGTCCGTTCGAGCTTGAATATTTCTTTGAAGCTATGGGTAGCATCTTCCACTTTGTCCCGCGCTCCGGAATGTATTCATGAATACTGGCAATGGCTAATATTTACGAAGTGTTTTGCGCTTGCATTTCATGCTAAGCAACAGGCACAGCTCGGTACTGGAGCCACACGCTAAATAGAATAGGATTTCTGCTGTCTGGGAGTTTCAAGTCTCCTGGGGACTTGGGACGAACAACCTTTCCATTTCAGAGTGTCACCCACGTTTTAAGGTTGGAGCCAGGAGGCCCCCGGTGTTAAGGAAGCCAACCCAACTATCCTGCCCCCTCCACAGAGCCCAGGCTACTTAGTTCCAGGCGCGTATGACTATTCGGTTTTCATTCCTAGAGGGCCTACTGTGTGCCAGACACTGGCATCTAAAACCAGCCCCTGCCCTTCCAGGATCTTAGGCACCTGAGAGCAGATATAGTCAGATATCAAACAATCACACAAGTACATGTAAAACTACAAATGTGATAAGGTTGAAGGTGGTGGAGGGTTTCCCAGGGAGATATGACCAGACCTGCAAGTCAGGAAAGGCTTCCTGAGGCAGGAGGTCAAGGTTTTGGTCAAGGGCCAGAGGAGGGGGAGCTAAGGCCACCAAGAGCCTGGTGCACTTTCAAGGCCGAGGGAACTGGGACACATGTAGAGTCCAGTGGGAGAAGGAGCAAGGAGAAATGAGTAAAGGCCCATGTGGCTGCAGAGGGGCTGGGGGTAGCTGGGTTCCACCTTTGGCCCAGAGGGCTGTGAGGCCTGACTATTCCCAGCCTGGGGTCCCTTGGAGAGTCCAGAGTAGGGCACTGGTCTTCCTGTTCTAGATTCTGACCTCCAGGTTCATGACCGCCGCATCTAACTTCATCATCTTCTTATCTCCAGGGCCAGGCAGATGCAAGTTTGTACAATGAGTTAACGTTGAGTAAGTGATTTAAGAAATGAGATTTTACCATGGCACAATTGGAAAGCTTATCAAGTCCGTGCAGGGACATTTTCCAAGCCTTAGCGTTCTTACAGAAGCTGCCTGAAGTTTATTTCCCGATTTATAAACAGGAACCGAACACATGTAGCTAGGGGCTCCATTTTGGCTAATATGCAAATATTTTAAGATAATTGGTTCAAATTGATAAAATGATTAATCTCACCATGGTCTTTTTAAATGATAAAGAACATTAAGTTTCCCTCTGCTTTAAAGGTCTAGCTTCTCTTTTGTGTTCAGTGAATATTAGTTGATTGGATGTTGATCTACTCAAATCTTTCCCATTTAGTAATTACATGAGGTGAGGCATGAATCAGAATTAACTGAGGAGGAAAGAGGAAGATGGCTGGAAAAGACTCACTGAAGGGAGGAAAAACTGGCACAGAAAACTGGCGAGCATGAGTATGGGGCCGCTTGCTTCAGGTTCCAGACCGTTGCATATGGTTGAAAAGATCTTGAGTTCAGGTCTCACCTGCACCAATCACTAAATGTAACTTTTCTCACCTGTCAAATAGATATAATATCATTTATACCATCTTGCACAAGACCACAGTGAATCTGAGGGTGCTTTAAGACTATAAAGCATTTAAACATAGGATATTATTAATAAGGACATTTTCTTTGGAGATCTATCCTCCTCCTATGTTTCCTCAGGGAGTAGAGGAATAACGCAGAGGGCCAGGTGCTTGGAAAGGGCTGTGAGTTGTGAGGGAAGGGTTTTAAAAGGAATTTTGCAACAAATGATTTGAACGGAAGAATGCTATTCTATAAATAACCACCCCCTACTTTTTTGTTAGTTTATTTATTGAGTTAGTTTTTGCAATTATTTGAGAAACACCTAAGAGAAAAGGAAATTTTTGACTAAAAATGATAGACTAGAGAAAGGCCGAATTACAATGCTGGATCTTCATTTTCCTATGTCAGTTCCTCAGTAGTAGGGTGCACACCCCAGCCCAAAGCTCCCTGCTTAGTATTGTCTAACAGGTATTATGCATCTGAAATGCGCTTAGGCACCGTTCAAAGCTTAGATCATATCCAGCCAGATCACAGTTGAGATAGACATGAGTTGTTTTTCCTCTGCAGGGCCAGTAAGGACTGGGCTACACCGGCCGGTTTCCTTGGGGATCAGAGTCCAATTTCAGGTTAATCTGTTTAGTGCACTAAGCACAGTGTTGTCTTACCTGGAACTTATTACACGCGGAGCCATTTCCTGTACTATTTTCAAATACTTGGAGCCATCAGAGAGGAGAACTAACATTCTCTCTCCAGGGTGCTTCTTTTCCTGGGGTCTTTTTATGGGAGGCAGTGCAATAGGGGTGCCGTGCAGGGAGCTTGCGGCCTTCCCTTGTAATTGACTCACAACGTTACCGTGAAGTAAGTTCTATCTCTCAAGGTAAAACTGATCATGACAAATCATCCCTTCCTATGTCTTTCCAATGATAATAATAGCTAGTCATTACTGAATGTTACTCACTGCTGGGTGTTTGTCATGATCATATTTGAATAATCCCAACAGCAGTATTATGAGACAGCTACTATTTATCGTCCCCATTTTACAGGCAAAGAAACAGGGATGGCCTTTCTCTCTTTGCAGCCAATATTCTTAACTCCTGCACTGTATCACTGTAAGCTTGTCTTGCCTCTTTTATTACATGATAATTATTTTGTATGTGTTATGTTCTGACACTGGGATTTCTTTCCATTTTAAAATGAAAAAGAAGCTTTGTTTAAGGTAAGATGGTAAGAGAAGCTCTTCTAGTGCAAAATGGAAGTGGAAGTCTTGATTACAATTTCATGTCATCTAAACTTTTTTTTTTTTTTTAAAGATTTTATTTATTTATTTGACAGAGAGACAGCGAGAGAGGGAACACAAGCAGGGGGAGCGGGAGAGGGAGAAGCAGGCTTCCCACTGAGCAGGGAGCCCGATGTGGGGCTCGATCCCAGGACCCTGGGATCATGACCTGAGCCGAAGGCAGACGCTTAACTGACTGAGCCACCCAGGCGCCCCCAATTTCATGTCATCTAAAGTGATTTTGTTTCTTTTACAAAAGGCACAGATTAGAATGGAATAAGCAATAAACTAAGCCTTAGGATTAAAAATCCTAAAAAGGATTAATGCAAGCAGCATTAGCAAGACTTTAAAAGAGACTGGTTTGCCTGTTTATAAGCTTCTCTTTCATTGAAGTAAAGAATGATTTTCAGATTTTCAACTCATTTTCTATTTCCTCAATTCCTATTAACTGCAGAGCACTTTGTTTCACATGCATCATGTTTACGTGCAGTTCTAGGTGGGTAATAAAAATGTTTACCGGGAAGCACAGCTCCCACTTTCCTTCTTTATCATTCAGGGAAAGGTATGCCAAGTGCTTATCTCCTCAGCAAAGACAGTGACTAGACATTTTCACCACCTTCTTCAGGACAGCATTTTAAACTCCTGCTTCATTCAGAATTGCTTCTTTTTGCTACATAACAATTCTGCTATTTTCATTTGAGGAGAAAAGCAAAAAAAAAGAATGTTTGCCCATAAGAGACATGTTACTCAATTGTAATGTATCGACCTTGTTTTGATATAGATTAAAACAAATGAAAAATAAACAAGAAAAAAGACATAGGGCAATTAGGGGATGTGAACTCTGGTTTATGATATTAAGCAACTGTTGTTATTTTGAGGGGCTATGATGTTTGAAAAGAGAACTCCTTACCGCTTAGAGATATATACTAAAATACTCAGAGCTGAAGTGATATGATGTCTGCGATTTCCTTCAAAATAATCTGGGTTGTTGGAGCAGGGAAGATGGGTTGGGAGTGTGGAGGAAACTAGAGGGGCCATGAGCTGATTGTTGTTGAGGTTGTAAGCCATTAGGAAAATGGAGGAGAGGAAGGAAACCGAAAGGAGGAGAAATGTTTTATATTTCATGGGGCATGGAAATGAATCTCTGTTAGAAAGAAGCTGTACACACTCATGATATAAGTATTAGATTCTAGAATGATTAGAATAACCAAAAGTGCAGTTTGCAAGTTATGCAATGTTTTTATAAAATATAAAATAGAGAAATAGGACATAAAAATTACTCACCTGTGCAAAAAGTTGTGACCAATATTATTTCATGAATTGAAAAAAATTTAATGGTTATTTCTGTGTGAAAATTTAATAGTGATTGATTTATCAGCATTCATCCTTGTGTGGTGAAACAGAATTTCATTCTCAGAACTAGACTACAAGCCCTAGGAGGGCCGAAATCCAGGTGATCCAGTGATACTTTAGCTCAGTTATAGGCTATGAGGCAATCCGTAGATATATGTTGCTGATTTCTTCTTCTGGCATAGTTACTATATCATGTATCATATTCCTGTATAGAAAATGCAAATACAATCAATTTCTCTTCGTTTCCCTCTGTCTCCTCTCTCTCTTTCTTTCTCTCTCTCTCTCTCTCTGGCTATTTATGATGATTTTTAAATCTGTCCTTGATTTTTGTTTGTTTTGGTTTGGGGCTATATATATAAAATTATATATATTTACCCTAACTGAGGAATATGATCAACTCAGTCCTCAGAACCTGACATTTATTTCTCACAGTTTTGGAGATTGGAAAGTCCAAGATCAAGATGCTGGCAGATTCAGCATGTGCTGAGAACTCACTTCCTCATTCATAGATGCTTTCTGGTTCCTTGTGTCCTCACAAGGTGGAAAGGGCGAGGGAGCACCCCGTAGTTTCTTGTAAGGGCACTAATCCCATTCATGCGGGCTCTGCCCTTGTGACTTAATAATCTCCTAAAGGCCCACTTTCTAATACCATCACATTGGGGTTTGGATATCAACA